GGGAAAATATTTCTAGTTTTAGAAACTAGGGCTTTATGTCAGTCTGAAAACATCTTTGCCTTCCTTTTCAGTAGTGTTTGTCTGGAGCTACACCTTTTTCATTCCTATAATTATTAAATGTTGAATTTCTATACTGAGGCAATGAATGGCATACTCTGAAATAGAAAAGAAAATTCTCATAAAAAGTATCATATTTATAAATACAATATCAAAATTTAAACTTAGACTTCTAGCTGACATATCACTCTGAAAAAAGTATAATATATTTTTGTTCTATTTGCAATACAATCTGAATTTGAATTTCAACTCGAGCCAAATACTCTAAAGGACTCAACCACTTTGGACTGTACATGTTCAATAATAAAACCAGCAGTATATTTCACAAAGTCTGATGATAGATAAATATTTGTTGATAAAACAAACGGGTGAATGTTCGATTTCATTTTCAACAGAGGAATGAACAAATATTTTGTAGCAAGTCCAGATTTTTACCATTTGCTTCAATTAAATTTAAAACGAAATTGAAAGGCTATGACATTGAATTACTTATATGTACATGAACAAAATTCAGATTGAGAAGTATTATTTTTTATCATTTACTTAATATTTAAAAAGCACAAAAGTCATTTTTAAAATTATTAATATATATGTAGCCCTATACTTACGCTTCAAAGATTCATATATGTCATTTCCTTGGAATGCCCTCGTCCCATAACTAATAGCAAACTCTTCACGATCAAAGAAGCCGTCCATCTGCATTTTATTATCTCCCGTTCATCTGCTTTTTACCATCTCATCAGAGTTGCTGATTTTTACGTTCTGTCCTTTCTTTGCTGCTCTTTTCAGTTTTCTGCGAGATAACTAAGTAAAAGAAAAATAGTCTTCTGAAGTCACTTAAAATAAAAAAGAACATCATTTTTCAACGCATTCAAATGTGCAGATGAGCTCAGTGTGAAACAATGCAGATTTATGTTTTTAAAATAGGCTGTATATAGATATAGATAATCCTCATAAACAATGCATGTGCATGCATGTATATTTTAAAACTTGTATCTTGTATCATAAATATTTTTCAATCCAAATCAAATGAATAAAAAAATGTTTAATTTAAGGTGGTGCCATTAGGGTGGGACGAATCGTCACTAAAATGGGGCGAGTCGTTATGGGGCGAATCGATCGTTATCCTAATCTGCACATTACTCCAGTAAATTTTATTTTTTGTCAACTTACATATGATATAGATCTAGAAGGTTTTTAAAAACGCTATATAGGACGAAAAGAAAATTTTGAACTTACCGTCTATCATGATGCAGTAGTCTAGATGCCTTGATATTGTTTTTTATCCATATTTTTGTGTAACACCACAAGTTTTCATCTTCCAAAATAACCGCCTTTTTCCTATGCATAGAATTAATGCAAACGAAATGTTATTCCTAGCTATACTATAGTATTGTATAAAGTTCCTTATTTTGCAGCTGCAATGACAAAATCTGATGTAAGTTAGTTTGTTTCTATCATTAGTTATATCCAAAAGAAAGAAAACTGTTTGTATGGTAAGATATCTTTTTTCTGAAATGGCAAAAAAATTTCGTTTCCTATTAATCTTGTTCTGTTGTCGGCTGATAGGGGGCGCTCGGTATGCTGCAGTTCCCTGCAAGATCTTATCGTCTAATCGCGCGGCTGGGAGCCATGCTGTTCAAAACAATAAACTAACAACAGATGTTAAGTCCGAGAGAATTAAGTCGCTTTTTTACGACATTTTACCTTTTTACGCATATACGTTAATCTATTCGACAGTTTTTTTTACTGATAATGATAGCTAACTGATCTAATCATAAAAAGCCGTGGGTATGGATCAGATTGCGTATTAACAATAATAAAGACAAAAACTGATCTTGATCACTCAAAAATAAAATCTACATGCAAATTAGTTAGACATATTTAACAGTAAAACGAGATTGTATAATTGATTCTTTTTTTACGTTTTGCGCTGAGCATGGAATTAATAATATGGTGATGCTTAAACTAAGAGACTTGAAAAACCCATATATATTTTCCAGTGACTGATTAAAAACAAGTACGGTAATGAGTAAAGGGAAATTAAAAAAAAATTGTATAGTTAAGATCGAGGGGTTTAGTTGTTATGAACAGTAAAACAAAAGGACCTACATCAATGAAAATTTCTGTTATAATTAAGCAAATTATGAACATCTGAAGTACAATGAATATGTTATGAATAAATCCTGGAAAATCTCTGATTTTAATGAATCATGAACAACTTGTGATCGAATATCTCAGAACTTTAAAGTGTAATGAATTTGTAATAAATGGTATCAAATGCAATCGGGAAAAGTTCTATTTCCAATAAATCATGAATAAATTGTATACATTCCAGTTCAAGTGTAATGAATTTGCAATAAATTGTATTGAATATATCTTATGTTTGTAATCAATGGTTAATAAATCTGTCTTTTGTAATGAATCTATAATAAATGGGGTCTTTTCTTTCCAGTAAAAGCACAATTTATTTATGATTCATTTAATGAATCATGAACAAATTGTATTAACAAATCAGGAAAACATGATTTATTCCAGATTTATTCACAATTTTGATATAATTTGTTGATGTATTTTTTTGTTTGGGTGATAGCGTCAAGACCAATTAAAATTGCAGCTCTTTATTCTGTCAACTGCAAGTGAAATTTGTGACTTTATCTCAAGTAAAGGATTAATAAAGTAACTATGCGTAATACCTAATTTTATGAACTTTATTTGAAATAAAGAAAACTCATATTTCTAGACTTAATTTTGTTTATCTGTGTTTTTTTTTTATGGCGATTGTAACACATTTTTGATCATATCTGGACAGTCAGTCCACCTCACCAGACTTTCATGGATAACAAACCATTACCAATTTCTTCGCAATGAAAAAACTACTAATCCCATTTGATTTCTAAATCAGCGGTGAGAAACAAATAACCACTCGACACAATGCCCAAGGTCAATTGTCACACAGAAATTTTTATGTTGTAAAACATGTTATAAACTTTGATGAAATAAATGCAAGTTGCTCTAATCCACTTTAATGTTCCATGAATATTTCCTTCGATTCAACAAGAGATGTCTTTTAGCTTGTATAAGCTATCATATAAGGGAGGATTGCAGCATGTTACGAGATGGTAACTTAACATGGGCTGTATATTACTTAATGTGTTCCAACTAGACAAGTAATACCCGTCTTCATCCATGGTCACATGCCCCCGCCCCCTCCAATGCCCTCAACAAGATAGGTGATGTTTCAACACCCTTGTGCCAATAGCATGTACAGCTAGTAACACGTAGATTAAATATTTCACAACTGCACTAGAATTTGAATAATATCAAAAATGTATATTCAAAATTATAGGTAGAAATGTGAATGTTTTTGTTGTTTTATTTCAATGTAGATACATGTAACCATAAACTAGATTTTAATATGTTGTAGTTTTATTCACCTGTGAAATAGATGGCCATTTCTGCTGTATTTTTTACATATAAAGGCATTCAAATTAATGTCCACGAGCAAAAAAGATCGGTCGAATTGTATATCTGCACAATACTTTTATAATCATTCTAAATATTATTTTAGTGAAAAATAGTTTCATTTCGAAGAAAATAATTATATTTAAGATGATGTGTACCCTTTTAACACAAAAGAGAAACAGTAAATTGAAGTGTATTTTACTATTTTCTTTAAAATGTCTCTGCATATGTAAAAGTGTATATTCTATGTTATAACAGATTCCAATCCAGTTTTTACATTAACGGAGAAGGAAACATGTATTAACGGATAAAGATTCACATTATCTCGTGCCTTTGTTGCACGTCAATTGACATCGCACTAGAACAATAGACAGCGTGTGAAAATTGTTTCTTTATACGAGATACAGACAAAGTCAAGCTTAGCTAGAATAGCGCTAATGCATCTTCTTTTCATGCAGGAGCCCGCGGACTGTTACTGAAACACATGCCCTGCGAGTTCGTGCGTTAAGTGAATCCTTGTGTTTCTGTTGCCAACGCAAAAGGTGCATTAACCCTTTCTTCTATAATATTTCTAAAGCTTTGCTCTATGATATTTCTAGGACGCAGCGTTTTGAAAGTTTACATTCAAATGCGCTTTAGAAATATTCGTACAATATTAGCAATATGGAGCAATAATTATTAATAAATCGGCTTTTGTTGAAAAAAGATCAAGGACCGTGTAATTCTAAACTTTAATGTGTGTCATGTTTGAACATTCTTCGATCATTTGTATGTTATCAATAGATCTTTGTTGAGAAGAGCATGTTATAAAAGTTGTATTGTACTTAATTAATAATGTGCGTACCAAGTCATTTTCAGAATGGTTTCAAACGGTAATGTAACGATTCGCCACACTAACGATTCGCCACATAACGATTCGACACAGAGTAATAACGATTCGCCACAGTTAAATAACGATTCGCCACGTGTTCAAATACAAACTTTTTCACACCTGTTTTCAAATTGTTGATGGAAAACTTTTTTCCATTTTATATTTCATTCGTTAATTACATTAATTAATTACACTGAATAAAGCTTTTATTGAATAAAAAACACACGAAAACCAAATATTTAATTAACAAAATTACATAACACATTTTATAATTTCGTTATTGATATAAACTGGAAAAATATACTAATATACAAATATGGCCTTTTTAGCTGGTGAATATGATGTGATATGGGGTTTGCCTAAAATACGAAAGTGAGATTTTTGACGAAAGTTTTTTGTCTGCTGTAAGATTATTATGCATTACATTATTTGCATTTTAGTTTATGCGCAAATAGACAATCCTTGAATTTAAGAAACAATTGTTGAATTTAAGAACCCATGATAATGTCCTGTGTGACAAAACCACAATATTTCATGCCCTAGAAAATTAAATGATTTATTTACAGCCTCCAATATTGTTTCTATATATCAGAGAATGTAGACAACTGGGCAGCGTTGGCGTCTGCTGTTCATTCTCGAGCTATACTAACATCATGTTGGGAGAAAAGACTTGCCTTGTTCAAGCATGAATACACAATTCTGTGCTATATCAAAACAGAAGGTAAAGTATACAGTATTATATATGTATGTACTGACCTTGTTGTTATGAAACTTTTCTTTTTGTGTTCAGTCTCGAATCTCAAAATTCATAGGTCATTCTACATTCAGAGCTGGTTTCTTACTTGTCAAATTCTGGAGATCTGAGTTTAGAACCATCATATTTTTCTGCTCTTTAAACATAATTGTCTTCTCTTTATCCATTACATTTTTTCCTGCTCTTGGACCAATACATATTTCTTTTGCTTGTAAAGCATTACAGTTTTTCTGCTCATGAATGATTACAATTTGTCTATTCTTAAGCCATGACATGATTGTCTGCTCTTGAAGCACAGCATTTGTGTTTTGTTCTGGAATATTTATTACTCTACTTTATATTTTAGATGTCCCACTACCATTAAAGTTTTGGTGTGCAAAGCAGCAGATAGTGTGTACAGTACATGCTAATATGCATAATGAGTTGATGGAATGTCTAGATGAGGTGAGGACTGGGTATTATGTAACTTTTCCTAATAGAGAGGCCATATTTTAACTTTGTCAGGGCAACATGGGAGGGTTGTGTTGGTAGTTTTCCCTTCACATCTCAGTAGTTAGCCACTTTTAACTTACCAGAGCACAGTTTAACTTCTACACAGTTCCTGCTTTGCTGTCATAGCAGTTAACCAGTACTAGTTACTTTCACTTTTGCAAAGAACTGATAATTCTATACACGCCAGAGAAGAGGTACAGTGTGAATGACCATACAAAGGATTTCATGATCAATCACAATGAAAATGACCTGCACCATCCTGGAATCGAACTAAGGTCTCCTGATTTCCAGTCCAATGCTCTACCTATTGAGTGACCTGTACATTTATTAAGGAAGCACTTTATGTACTTTGTGTTTAAGTAGTGTTATACATTATAATCATGTTGAGATGAGAATTTTTTTTACAGTTACTTTACTTGAATTATTTTAGTTAATGACAGATTTTGGCGGAGAAGTAGAAGTGAAGCAGCTGTTTAATGTGTTTAGTAATGTCCTACAAGACAATACAGGGGGCGTGGCTAAATCTCTTGATGAACACTCCTCCGTGTATTTTTGGCAGGTTGGTATTCATGTTAATTGAACATTAAATAGTGATATTTTTATGTGTGTATATTGTCAAAGCAGCATGCTGCCAGGTTCATACTAATTTCTTATGAAAATTTCATAAAAGTTTGGAATATTTAAGATATTGTTGAGTGAAATAAGCCTGCATATGGCAGGGGACACTTGCAATCCATTTAATTAACCTATAATGTTTCAAGTTACTAAAATTTTTCCCTTATTCTGTTATGTGCTGACTTGAAATATTGTGATAAACTTATCAAATTTAGACAAATTTAAAAGCGTTACATGGTTTTAAAATTATTTATATATTTCATACTCACTTTGAAATAATCAAATTTGAAAGTTTGATTACTTTATATTCTACTTGATCATCTGGAAATATGCACCATTTAATGACTTCCTTCTTGTATCTGAACAAAATGCCTTTGTGCTTCAGGGGTGTATTGTAATTTATTTAAAATTTCTCACCAAATCGGAAAAAATAATTTTTGTATCAATAATTCCAAGCTTTAAATAACAGCATGTATGAATTTTCTGAAACCTTGTTCAACAAAAAGGCCTCTTAAGTATAATCTTGCAATTATCTGATTATCAAATCTGTTTAATTATTTATAATATTGTTCATATAGAGTATGAGTGTATTGTCTTAATTATACAGTCTTTTGCATTTCAAATAATCATTTGTGTACAAAAATGCTACCTACTGTACTACATAATAGTCATAAAGAGTGTTTGTTTTTGTAATGACCTAATGATGTATTTTTCTGGTAGATTATGGTAGAGATGTACATTAAATCTGGATTGATGACGGAGGTTGAGACTACATTGAAACAGTGTCATTATAAAGTGGCTAATAGGTACAGCTTTTTTTTTTTCAACTTAATTGAGAGCAATAATGCTCAATAGTGGTCAGTCTGTAATTGGTCTTCAGTTCCCCTAATTCAGATTGTTAAAACTTTTAATGAAGTTAACACTCTTAATGAAGGTCACAGTTTTCGTTTTCAAGCACTTAAAATAGTCAAGCATCCAGCACTACTGACAGCTCTTGTTTTATTGTAGAGCTTTATATTATATAGAATATAGAGATTATAATTATGACATAAACAATGTGTTTTTATTTTGTTATAGTAGACGAGCAAAACTTGTCAATAAAGTATGAGAAGTATAGAAATATGTAATGGGTTTTTTTTTTCATTTTTGATATGTTGTATAGTTGGATTAAAGTGGTAGTTTCTCTTATATAAATAAAATAGCACAGAGAATGGTGAAATGAAAAATGCATCTGTTTTTTACTACTTCAGTGCAAATCAAGTGTTTTTGCTCAAGATGGCACATTTGGCGTTTCAGCAGATTCTGGTAATTATTTTAATACTGATTATTGTGGTAGTTTGACCACAAGAGATATCACCAACATAAATGCAAGAGAAATAAAATTCAAGAATAGCTTAAATTAATACAATTTGGTTACCTGAACTATTCAATTATACCCTCACTTTGGGTACCTTAATTATTCAATCATACCCTCACTTTGGGTACCTCAACTATTCAATCATACCCTCACTTTGGGTACCTCAACTATTCAATCATACCCTCACTTTGGATACCTCACTTATTCAATCGTACCCTCACTTTGGGTACCTCAACTATTCAATCATACCCTCACTTTGGGTACCTCAACTATTCAATCATACAATCACTGTGTTCCTCAACTATTCAGTCATATCCTCACTTTGGCTACCTTGACTATTCAATCATACCCTCACTTTGGGTACCTTGACTTTTCAATCATACCCTCACTTTGGGTACCCTGAGTATTCAATCATATTCTCACTTTGGGTACCTCGACTATATTTGCAAATGTAAGTTGTATTGTTGTTGTTGTTGTTTTTTTTGCTTTAAATAAAGATGCTGATAATTTGAACCTTGAAATATACATTCATTTGTAGCACAATTAATCATAGTGTAATAATGATTCAGACATTTTAATTATGATATTTTCAGACAAGTTCAGGAAATTTAGACCACTACAAGGAAGTATTCAATGAAACAGTAGATCAGATATTGGCAGGTCACCCAGAATGCATTGCTGTTAACTTAATGCAGGGAGTTCTAAATCTACACACTAACTCAAGGTTATTTTATTTAACTATTATTTCCCACTATTTATTAAGTGTCACTGTCTGCTTAGCTCAATAGCGAGAGCAATGGATTTGTAATCTAGGGGTGGCTGGTTCAATCCTAAGACAACTTGTGATTTCTCCCTGACAATTGATATTTAGTCTGTCATTTGTCTCTAACCGATAATTTAGAAATCATGTTGGATTTATAGTCAGCAACTTGTGAAGAAACTTGTGAAGAAATTGGTAATTACTGGTTAATTATCTAGGAAATCTGGTTTTGTTGACTGTCTGTTGTTTTACAACCAAAAAATGTGTAAAAATCCACGTAAAAATCAAACAAATTACATTTTAGAATAATATGTGATTAATATACTTATCTGTACATATAACCTGTTTTCCTTTTTCCCATGGATCAAGCTTTACATGGACTTGCCCTGTGTGGATTTGGGACTGTCTGTTGTCAGATTTAGGGATTTCGATACCAAAAAGTTTAATTGATCATACAATAGTAGTGCAAAATCTTGGAAAATTGATATTAAAACATTTTCCACATTCATTTTAACAATTTTAATATGATGTCTGGTAATGATTTATAGATTAGCAAAACATCAGCTGCAGAAGATACTAGATTGTCATGTGACAGGAAGTCAAGGTCATGACCTCTCTATAGCAAGACAAGCTCTCCTACATGTACTTGTTAACTCAAAGAAAGACTCAGAACTGATACAGGTAAATACTTTGTCACCTTAGTACAGTATTGGTTAACTTTTTATATAATTTAATAGAAGTTAACCCATTATTGCAGTAAGGTGATGACTTGTCCTTTTATTATTACAGGCCTTTTTCCCCTATCCCAATATCCGAATATGGGCCCCATTCCCCAACCAAATTTTTTTTTTCCCAATCCCAAAAAAATATTCCCAATCTAGAAGTCGTCAATTTGAAAGAAAAAGTACCGCATTTTAAATTTTGGTGTCGCGAAATAGCCTTACGGAATATATTCATGTTTTGTGAATAAAAACAGGATTTTTAACTGATATCAATTTTACATTCATACACATTTTTGCATGCCCTTGTATTTTTAATATGACATGACAGAAAAAGCTGAACAGTAAGATTTATTAAGATTTATTTAACAATTGTAACACGTTGAATGCTAACATATTTTCCAAAATTGGCAAATTTCATGATTACTTTTTTTCCCAAATTGAAAAATTTTACGACACAAATTTCCCAAATTTGTCATGTGGCGTTTTCCCAAAACAGAGGAAAAAAGGCTGTTATTAATTAGTTAAAATTATTATGAAACTATTTTGTACTTTTATCATTTTCTGATTAATTCAAAATACTTATTGTGTAGATCGATAAGCATGTTCCCTTCTTTTTGTCAAATCAATTCAATATATTCCATAATTGAAAAAACAAAACAAAAAAAAAACATGATTTTTAGCATTCTTTTTATAGGTGTAAAGCTGTATTAGTCTGTTATATTTGTTGATATCTATAGGAAACTTTTATATTAAATATCTGTAGGCGTGACATGTTTTAATACATTTATACTATGATTATGTATGCATATTAATGCTTTTTCATGGCTGTTTTTAAATATAACAGTGAAGAAACTAAGTCACTGTATCATTTTCTGCAAGCCTATACAATTCAAATTTTTCAGTGTACATGTATATGGGCTTTTGCAAATCAAGTGTTTTTTTTTACTTTCAAACACTGCATCATGTATTGCAAACTTATGCAATTCAACCTGCATCATATTTTGCAATAATTGGAACTAAATGTGTATCTATACTGTGGTTATACATTTCTGTTCTGATGAAGCTAACTTGGGGTTACGGAATCAATGAATTTTGTTGATGGACAATTTATGTTTGTATCTTACTATTTAAATGATATTTAAATTTTCAAGTTAGAAAAAATGGACAAGTCCATATATTACACCTGATAATGGTTTGAAACAATGCAACGATGATTGTCATTACCTCATTATACATTTCTTGTGAATATTTATAAATAAATTTCATCTTTTATTTGCAGGTTATCCTGGATGATGCAACACTAGCTGAGGATACAGAATCATTAAATTATTATAGAAATATCACTGCTTGAAAACAGTCATCTGTGATCAATTTGAAATAATGCCATTGATAAACAGTATTGTTTAATATAAGAAAACTTTCAGAATATTGGGGAAAAAATTGAAACAAGATATACATGTATACAAAATTATGATGTAATGTTGTTATATTTTGTTGTTATGTGTTACAGTTCAGACGGGAATATCTGTATTGAGGGTAGTTAACCAGCAAGCCCTGTAATGACCCATGGAAATTTTCAGCATGAGTAAAACTAACAAAAACACAAATCTGCCCAAACAAAAAAAAGATAGGAATGAATCAGTATAATAAATGATAAACAAATTTACCATTTATTCCCAATTTATTATAGATGGAAATGACATGCAAATGAGCCAATGCATTATGAATAAATTGTTAATAAATCAGTGAAATGAATTGGTAATGAATTGGGTCCATATTTACCAACTTATTATAAATTGTTAATAAATCAGGTTAACAAATGGGTAATGAATTTGGTCCTTTTCTTGACTTAGTCAATGAATTATCAACAAATCAGGTCAATCAATCGGCAATAAATTAGGTTCGCTGACCAACTGATTCATTAATGAATTGCAAATAAATTGTTAATGAATCACTAATAAATTGTATTTTTTCTTCTTCCATAAACCGAAATTCAATGTATTAATGAATCATTAACAAATCAGGCTTGCCTGCTTATATTCATCTAATGGATTTTGAATAAATGCAGGTTCCAATGATGGTGTCAATTCCGGAGAAAAATATGAAAATAATAATAATAATAATAACATATCTTGATAAATTTTATTTATTTTTCTTTTATTTTTACAAACAAAAGCTGACTAGATTAATCAAGAACATACAACAAGATTAAAATTTGTGAACAAATCTATGCCACCACATCATAACATTGAAAACTCATGATGTACGTGCATAGCTCATTTCATAAATATCCCTGCAAATAAAACAGATAATGTCAGGTAAACAAGTAAAGGGTAATAATTCTGGAAATATTCGTGCTTGCTGTTAGGAAATATTTCTAGTTTTAGAAACTAGGGCTTTATGTCAGTCTGAAAACATCTTTGCCTTCCTTTTCAGTAGTGTTTGTCTGGAGCTACACCTTTTTCATTCCTATAATTATTAAATGTTGAATTTCTATACTGAGGCAATGAATGGCATACTCTGAAATAGAAAAGAAAATTCTCATAAAAAGTATCATATTTATAAATACAATATCAAAATTTAAACTTAGACTTCTAGCTGACATATCACTCTGAAAAAAGTATAATATATTTTTGTTCTATTTGCAATACAATCTGAATTTGAATTTCAACTCGAGCCAAATACTCTAAAGGACTCAACCACTTTGGACTGTACATGTTCAATAATAAAACCAGCAGTATATTTCACAAAGTCTGATGATAGATAAATATTTGTTGATAAAACAAACGGGTGAATGTTCGATTTCATTTTCAACAGAGGAATGAACAAATATTTTGTAGCAAGTCCAGATTTTTACCATTTGCTTCAATTAAATTTAAAACGAAATTGAAAGGCTATGACATTGAATTACTTATATGTACATGAACAAAATTCAGATTGAGAAGTATTATTTTTTATCATTTACTTAATATTTAAAAAGCACAAAAGTCATTTTTTAAAATTATTAATATATATGTAGC